AAAAACACATGTGCTCCTGGTCAGAGTATGCCTTTTTTATTTTTGATACATAAAATAGAATTAAATATCAATGCACTCATACCCAGGCTTCAAGACCTAATCAACGATTCTCATTTTACTATGCTAGTAGAATATATAGACGCGAAATGTGTGAATATAAGAACGAAGCTACGCAACAACCAATTGCAAAAATTGAATAAATGGAGTCACAAACCTCAAATCCAAAGCACAACCAATAACAATGTGATCAATTTATCGAAACAGTCCATTCCCTCAGAAGCCATATCTCTACTATCCAAAGGCCTCAACTTTGTTCCTTCCCAGAAACTCGATATCCCTAGAACAATTGCATCAATAGAGACCTCAATCAAAAACCTTGCAGAATCAAACAAGGAAAAGATCCGAACAGAAGTCATTCCTATTCTGAAAAATCTGAATCGCCAGAACAAGACCAATATAAATCACGATGAAAGAAAAGCCATCAGTTTCTTAAAAGAAAATAATATTATTATAATTTCTCCTTCAGACAAAGGTAAAACACAGTGATAATGGACATAGCAGACTATGACAGCAAAATCCAGCAATTACTTCAAGACAAAGAAATATACGAACTGTTAACTATTAATCCTCTACAGAATATGATAAAAGATTTCAACAGAAATTTGAATAGAATAAAACGCACGCACAAATTAGACAACAAAGTTGTTGAAAAAATCAAAGCATCAAAATGTGATCTACCAATATTCTATGGTTTACCGAAAATTCATAAACCCAATAACCCACTTCGTCCCATAGTCTCATACACCGGTTCACCAATCTATCCGTTAGCTAAATATCTCTCAACAATAATATCGCCGTTTCAGAAATTTCTCCCCCACACCGTTCAGAACGCCACATCAGTGGTAGAGATTATGCAAGGAATAGCGATACCCCAAAATTACCACATGGTTTCATTTGATGTTGAATCTTTATACACGTCGATCCCACATAAGGAAGCCATCAGTGAATTTTCAAAATTTATAGACACCAATCCACAACTTAATTTAACAATTCCTAAAGAAGCACTTAAAGAATTACTCGACTTATGTTTATCCTTCAGTTATTTCAGTTACAAAAACCAGCATTATAAACAGATTAAAGGCCTTCCAATGGGCAACCCAATTTCTTCTGCCCTCGCCAATATTTATATGAATCATATTGACAATATTATCATTTCAACCAAACATCTCAAAATAATAGCCTGGAAACGATATATTGATGACATCATTTGCATCAGTCAAAATAGCAACCTCGACAATATTCTAACCTTCCTCAACAGTTTAAAGCTATTTTTAACCTTTACATACGAAATAGAAAATAACAGCACTTTGGCATTCTTAGACCTCAAGCTCACCAGAATAAATAGCAAAATAGAAACCAGTATATATAGAAAACCAACGCATACAGGCAAATATCTCAATTTTAATTCATTTGGCCCCATTAATCATAAAATATCCGTTATAAAAACACTATCAAAAGAATTTCCACCCACTGCTCCTCAAATATTAAAAATAATAAAGCTGAACAAAACATATTTTACAATGAGATGAAAAATAATGAATATCCTTCAAATTTCATCAAGAAACATATATATAAGCTCACCAACAGTCCTACAAACAATAGTGAAGAACCGAATAAATACTGTGCACTGCCATACAATTATAGCATTGAAAGAATAACAAGAATACTTAAAAAGTACAATATCAAAATTCGATACAAAACCACAGCTAATCTAAAAGAAATTTTACGCCATCCCAACACTAAGCATAATAGCAAACATCAATTTAAATCAAACATAGTATATCGCATTCCATGCAAATCATGCCCTGCAACATACATAGGAGAAACCGGTAAAACTCTTGAAGAAAGAGTAAATCAACACAAAACAGTTTTTAAAAACCATAGCCCATTATCACTTTTACAGGACCATATACCAAATTTTGAAAAAAAAAAAACAGAAATTATATATAACAACATTCAAGATAAACATTCAAGACTCTTTTTAGAAAGTTGGACCTCAATGAAAGATACCAACAGTATTAATAGAAAAATTGACATACCTCCGTTATATCTACAGTTCAAATCGATTTAAAATTATTTTATTATACTTATTAGGAATCATATATTATTTTTTAATTTTTATAAATGTACATATATAGTCTATTCTTATTAATATTTTTTGTGTGTATATATTTTAAATTTTATCCCCACAGAGTTGCAAATATTTATATATCGTCGTGTGAAGGCATCACGTGATGAACCAAAGCAGTTCAAAAACAAGAAAAGCCCTGACGAAGTTAGGCGTATAGCCTATTGAAATATTGGCATTTATATTAAATAAAATGTTTATTTTATTTTTGATCCAAAATATGCTATTCAATTAATATATATATATGTGGTATTTTCTGGAGATGATCTCTTATTGGAGGTTGGGTTACATCAGGACAAGTCATTTCATTAGTTTTTACAAAGGTTCGTTGGAACTTCTGTATATTATATGATTTCTGGTTAGAGCCCTCATCAGTACAGAGGCCTAGATTTGATCAAATTCAACTTTTGACAATGCTGAAATAATTAGAGAAAAATAGTTCATTCTTTCAAAGAAAGATGTGCTATCTTTAAATATATATATATAAAATAAAAATCATACACACAATAATAAAGAACACGAAGATTAGAATTAATAGAACCGAAATAAATTTTCTTTAAGATTTTCTAAAGTTCTAAATAATACATTCAGCGTTTCTTAGCCTTAAAATTGACCCTTTTAAAAAAATCTAAACTTCTGTGAAAAAATAAAAACCCGTATATACAAATATTAAATAAAAAGGCATATATTAGATCAAAATATATGCCTTTTTATTTAAAAATTTATTTATGGATTGCTCTATTTTCAATACAAATATTAATTAAGAAATAATTATTCACCGATATATATCACAATATATACATAGTATTTTAAATATAGTAAATATTTTTATATAAAAACTTTATATAAAAAAGATCATTTTCACACATGAAAATAGCGACAAAATCTCTTCTCCAACTTTCGAGTATTTCTCAGATCTCGACCACAGAGTATTTAGGTCAGTGATTATTACCCAACGCCACCGATTCGAATCTGTGAATTAGTAGAATGGTCAGTAGACAGCGTGTAAAATTGAAGAAAATGGAATACGTGGAATAATAAAAAAACAAACTAGAGGAAATGATGTTTTAAAAATGGTTCTCACAAATGATAGCTCTATTTTTTTTATATATCACATAATTTATCTATTTTGATTTTTATTATATTCATATGTATGTTTGAAAATAGAGCAATTCATATAATAAATTATTTAAAAAGGCTTATTTTGGATCATAAAGTTTAATTTTCCAATATTTCGTGTGGCAACTCGCCAAACTTCTTCGGGGAACAAGATTGTTTTGAGATGCTCGCGTATCAATTCACGAGTATGTACAACTGCTATAAAATTTAAAATATCTAAATCTACAATATTCATTTTCATAAATATAATAAATAATAATATAAAATAAATTATATGTATATATATTGGTAAAGAAGATCTCATTTTAATAACCTTTTTTATCAATAAATTGAAATAAATCATTATGATCATTAATCAATAAATTCATATAGGAACAATTCCTTAATCAATATCAGTATATATATTCATTGATTTATATTAATTAATAAATTGATAGGGAAGCGTTTACTTTTTAATCATAATTTATTCATTTTTTTATATCTAAAATAACGTAATATTATTTTTTAATTGCATATATATCAATTTATTTTAAATAATCAATATATTTATAAAGGACTAGCGGACGTACCCGGCTTCGCCCGGGTTTTACCCGAGTAAAGGTTTGTCTAACGAATCTCTCGATAAAGTGAACATTTTTTTCCCGGTCCCTTGAAAAATACTCGATAGGTTGAATAAAATCAATATTAATTGGTTCCTTCGGTAATTGGAAGTTAAAGGAATAGTATCTTGCCTTGGAATTGTATCATTATTCTTGTCTCAAATAAATTGCCGTGTCATCCTGAATTTTGTCTTTCCTAATTTTCTACATTACAAAATCATCGTATCATCATGATAATATTTAGAGCAGATTGTTGAATTATAACAGATAAATTAGAATATTTATCTTGATTATTTTTAGGCGAAAAGTTATTTCAAAAATTGTATTTGCTAGAAACCTTCCCAGTACTATACTAAATAACTTCCCAAAGTTTCATGGCGTTCCAATGAGTGGTTCGGTCAGGCATAAAGGACAGACAGACACACATACATTCATTTATATATATATATATATATTAGATAATAAAAGGCATATATTGGATTTAGTAATATATATATATATATATATAGATAAAATTGCTTTTTTTTCCTCACTCATGTACATATATAACCTTTATGGGGAATCCCCTTGTAAGACAATAGTGTCTTAATAAAGGTTTTGTTGTTGTTATGTATATTTATAAAGGATCAATTAATTTTATATTAATCTTTATTGAATTTGTCATAAATTAATTAAAAAAAAAAACGAAAACCCCCTCTTGAAGATGCGTGTGATGTTTGGATATGCGACAAAGTAGCATTTGACAAATATTTCTGCTTTCATCTCTATACACACAGTACATGTAAACATCACTATTGATGAGCTGGGTTCTTTAACAAGGTATAATTATTCAGTAGTATCGTGTATTATTGTATGGCATTTTCTCCTGTAGAAGGGTGTTCATGCCCTCGAAAAAGCTAGATATTATAGATTTTTATTCAATAGAATGCGGACTATGATTGTAGAACGACATTTGAAAATTATCCCGCATGTGTTTCTTTTGAACGAAAAATCTAAATTTATTTTAAAGGATAAATAACGATTATTTCTAACCTTATGGATGAAGTATGAAAGGATGAATTGGGAAGAGTAATAATAAGTGGAAAAAATAAAAGTGTCCAGAGAAGGGAATCGAACCCACAGTGTTCCGCTTACCGGGCAGATGCCATATCCACTAGGCTATTAAAGATATTGAAACTGAAGCCTAATATTTGTACCTCAGTAGTGTTAGTGGGTCTGTATTGTTGTATATCAGAAACAAGGGTGTATTCCTGATGTGTGATGTGCGGGGCTGTGAAGGGTTGAAAGAACGCTGGGAATGTCCTCCCCAATGTTTAGATCTCCAGAAGTAAACAGCTGGAACCAATGTGTCATCGCCTCCTCATTACGTCGATAAGACAACAGCCCGGAATAGTAGCATTGTTGGCAGGACACGGGCTGAGCCATTGTTGGGAGGACACGGGCTGAGGCATTGTTGGCAGGACACGGGCTGAGACATTGTTGGCAGGACACGGGCTGAGACATTGTTGGCAGGACACGGGCTGAGATATTGTTAGCAGGACACGAGCTGAGACATTGTTGGCAGGACACGGGCTGAGACATTGTTGGCAGGACACGGGCTGAGACATTGTTGGCAGGACACGGGCTGAGACATTGTTGGGAGGACCCGAGCTGAGACATTGTTAGGAGGACACGAGCTGAGACATTGTTGGGAGGACACGGGCTGAGACATTGTTGGGAGGACACGGGCTGAGACATTGTGGAATCATTGTTGGAAGGACACGGGCTGACACATTGTTGGTAGGACACGGACTTAAACATTGTTGAATCATCGTTGGGAAGACACGGGCTGAGACATTGTTGGTAGGATACGGGCTGAGGAATTGTTGGATCATTGTTGGGAGGACACGGGCTGAGACATTGTTGGATCATTGTTGGGAGAGGACACGGGCTGAGACATTGTTGGATCATTGTTGGGAGAGAGAGGACACGGGCTAAGACATTGTTGGGAGGATACGAGCTGAGACATTGTTGGATCATTGTTGGGAGAGAGGACATAGGCTGAGACATTGTTGGATTATTGTTGGAAAAAAAAAAGGACACAGGCTAAGACATTGTTGGATCATTGTTGGGAGGACACGGGGTGACACATTGTTGGATCATTGTTGGGAGGACATAGGCTGAGACATTGTTGGATTATTGTTGGGAGAGAGAGAGAGAGAGAGAGGACACAGGCTATAAGACATTGTTGGATCATTGTTGGGAGAGAGAGGACACGGGCTGAGACATTGTTGGTAGGATACGGACTGGTACATTTTTGCAACATTGTTGGAAGAACACCGGATGGTAAATTATTGTATCATTGTACGGGATGCGAAGGCAACACAGGCTTGGCCTGAATATCGTTGGTAAGCATTGTTGGACGTATCTCGGATGAGAATTGTTTAAACAATGTTGAAAGAACACCGGCTGGAATAACTGGAGCATATTCGGCAGTATACGGGCTGATCCAAGGCAGCATTTGAATCACAGATATCTTAAAGAATGGTGGGTTGGAAACATAGGTCAATTTTGTTAATTGGGTTGATGGCCACGGGAGCTGTCACATTCGTACAGATCAACACAAAGATAGATCCTTGTTTCTGCCTTTATTGTCATATACGCCCAGATAGATCTCATTAAGACGAACTCTTAACCATCCTTAATTATAACCATAATCATATTAAGGATATATGAAGAGATATGATCATCCGGTTGTTCAAACAACATAGTAACCAATATTTACAATCCTTATAGGAAATTTAAATCTATTTTTTTCATCAAATCTTTTTTCAAAGAAGAAATTAGATTTCCCTCCCTCGATTGTGTCTGTTAAAGAACCAAACCTCACAACAGCGAGGACCTTGAAGAATTACAAACCAATCATCCACACATCCAAATTAAGAGTCCCAATTTAAATAAGGTAAACAAATCTAATTAAGAAAAAAAAACCGAGGTGTATTAAAATGGGAAAGCCAATCAAGACATTTGCCGGACAAGACGCTGCTGTGAGTCATCTTTACAAGGCCAACAGCTAAAGATGTCCTTGCCCGTTGACCCTCAAGTCTTTTTCCCAGGTCCTTTAGTATGTATGGGAACCTGCGGCAGGGTCAGATCTAGATGACTGGAACTGTGCAAACATTCACATGACAATTGACAATTAAAAATGGTTTATTGACATCTAGTCAATGGTCAAGAGAGAGTTTACAGAGTTTAAAATAGTAGATAAAATATATACACCAGACGAGGCCTTCTCCGAAGGTACGTCTGGATCCTATCAGGAGCTTAGAATCGTCTTGAGTTCAGACTTGCGAGTTATGGAATCCGTGTCCCCAGCGATGACTGTGAACTTGACAAGAATAATCTTGTGTTTAGGTAACATTCACATGTTGATATAACTACAGACACTATACTTCTCTAATATATGGTGGAAACTTCCCACATGGGGAGACTGCCCGAAAAACATGGAAACTTTTTGTCACTCCTGAAGATGATCGTTTATTCGAGGTTGAATTTGATCAGTAGATTCCATTGTTGATTTCATAAAGTTGGTTGGGGAGTCGCTTAACTACCTATCATGATTATCATGGTCTATAACACGTTTATTTGGGATAATAATAAAAGTGTTAATTTATAGGATGCTTGAAAGAATTGAAGAGCCATTGTATCACACACAATGTATCGAACTACTTAAGTATAAATGCCAAGTTTGGGTCAACTCTATCTATCAAATAATTGTGTATTCTCAAGTGTAAGGTGGCAATACGGGAGATAAATAGAATAAATAAATCCATTAGCGCTAATTTCCAACGATTTAAACGTAGTGAAGAAAGCGTGTAAGAATGTGATTGGTGTAAGCAAGAGTCTTCAGAAGGAATGCAGACCGTGGGAGGTCCCCGAGTATTTACGGTCCCATAACTCCCCCCGCCCAACCAGAGATAGGTACACAAACAGACTTCCCTCGGCGACTCCATAACTCCCGATCACTGTTTATGGACCTCAGGATAAATCTTGTGGAAGACGAACAAAGACGTCCCTTGCTACACCGCCGTGCAGCTGTGTTCTTCCAGAATCCCCTGGCCACCACTTAGTACTCTTTCCGCAAAAAACTTTGTTATTACTACCGATAAATACATAAGCACACATGTATGCAAATCTGTAAATATACATTACACCTTTATATTTATGAACACGCTTCCAGAATCCCTCGGCCAACACATTCCAAACTAACACCGCTTAGTACTCTTCCCGCAAAAAACTTTGTTATTACTACCGATAAATGCATAAGCACACATGTATGCAAATATGTAAATATACATTACACCTTTATATTTATGAACACGCTTCCAGAATCCCTTGGCCAACACATTCCAAACTAACACCGCTTAGTACTCTTCCCGCAAAAAACTTTGTTATTACTACCGATAAATACATAAGCACACATGTATGCAAATATGTAAATATACATTACACCTTTATATTTATGAACACGCTTCCAGAATCCCCTGGCCACCACTTAGTACTCTTCCCGCAAAGAACTTTGTTATTACTACCGATAAATACATAAGCACACATGTATGCAAATATGTAAATATACATTACACCTTTATATTTATGAACACGCTTCCAGAACCCCCTGGCCAACTCACACCACTTAGTACTCTTTCCGCAAAGAACTTTGTTATTAATACCCTTAAATACATAAGCACACGTGTATGCAAATATGTAAATATACATTACACCTATATATTTATTAACAGGCTTCCAGAATCCCCTAGCCAGCACTTAGTACTCTTTCCGCAAAGAACTTTGTTATTACTACCGATAAATACATAAGCACACATGTATGCAAATATCTAGATATACATCACACATTTATAATTATGAACAGGCTGCCAGAATCCCTTGGCCAACACTACTTAGTACTCTTTCCACAAAGAACTTTGTTATTACTACCGATAAATAACCGATTTACTACCGATGCATAACATCTCTATGTTTAGAAACAGGCTGTCAGAATCCCCTGGAAAGTACAACATTGACACACTCCAAACTACCACCACTTAGTACTCTTTTCGCAAAGAACTTCTATATATTTGCATACTATGTAAATAGACTAAGAGAAATTATGCAAATAAATTTACTTCTCGACTTACTTATATTACTTGGCGAGTCCACAATATACCATCTTATATAGTTTATACATGCACCATTTATTCTAATAAAAACTTTCCTCTCTAAAGTACAAAACTGTTTGTTCTCTACCAGATTACATTGCTCGAAAAATACTTCTAAAAGGCTCTTTTTGTTTTTCATAAGAGGTTTGTGCGCGCATAAAATGGAGAAAAACAATTCTGAAATAATCAAGATATAGATAACGCATAAACACATCACGATCAACTTACGCTAACTCTCCAATATAAGTTTAAATATAAGTGTTATTGTATATGTTACTTGTTTTAAAATCTGATTGTCACAGTTGGATTTCAAAAAGTACTATTAGATTTCCAATTTTATCAAGATATTATCGTGAACAAAATGAGGAAAAACGTCAAAAATGACAAGGCAATTTTTAATGGTTAAAAATAACCACCATATTTACATATATATGCAATAACATAATGACAATGGTACTACAAACATCAAAGAAAATGAACCTTCCTTTAATAAATAATATATATCTGTTATGCATGCCGGATTTTGATGTAGTATGACACAGACTTCAAGGTAGAACGCTAGTACTGAATGATTGCATAATAATATCGTCATCGTAAGTCATCGTAAAGCCTGTAGAAGAACGCATGCGTCCGAAAACTTGCTAATAAAGTTCGTATAAGAGTCATCGTAAAGCCTGTAGAAGGACATCCGAAAGCTTGCTAAAAAGGTTCGTATAAGAGTCATCGTAAAGCCTGTAGGAGGACATCCGAAAGCTTGCTAATAAAGTTCGTATAAGAGTCATTGTAAAGCCTGTAGAAGGACGTCCGAAAGCTTACTAATAAAGTTCGTATAAGAGTCATTGTAAAGCCTGTAGAAGGACGTCCGAAAGCTTGCTAATAAAGTTCGTATAAGAGTCATCGTAAAGCCCGTAGAAGGACGTCCGAAAGCTTGCTAATAAAGTTCGTATAAGAGTCATCGTAAAGCCTGTAGAAGG